ATGTTAACATAAAATATTTGTGTTTACCCAAAAGCGTTTCTTTGCATCCCGCCTCAGAGACATTAGTTTGGCTTAAGACTCTGTAATAGTTGCTGGAAAAAGGAACAGGAATATCAGTTAAGGTTTCAATTGTAGAATATTTGTGCTTATGAAGTTTGATGTGGCCCAAAGTGTAACTGTAGTTATGAAAATAATTTGTAACAGTGGTGTTCCGTAAAAAGAAATCAAGATTTCCTTCAAGTATTCTTAATAAACTAAAGAGTGACCCATCACTCAGACATGTTGTTGATGTTTGCACCTACTTGCGCTCTCTTGGTTATGCTGATAATAACATCAACTTGCATTCCTAAAATGTTTGTTTAATGCAAGTCACATGGATGTCATGTTTCCAAGCATCAAAAAAAACACCCAGGCTGATTTTGTTTGGAAAGATTGAGGAGACATCGCCCCTTCTGAGTTCCCTCAGGTTCAGATCAGGTCACTTTCTTTAGGGGCTTGCCTGCTCATTGCATCTCATGAGGTTTATTCCTGAAGTGGTGGTTTAGACGTAGAGAAGTCACGACCCCTGTGATTATCCTTGACTCTTAGTCCTCTACTTAAACCTGGCTGCTGGTAAAAATACCATATGGAAGCTCCATGCACGCTCCCTACAGACACGCCTCTCACTCACCATGCAGACACATTTGAGTGGATTCCTGTAAAGTTGTTGGTGACTTCTAATGTGACCGCTAATGGCAGTAGAAGAAAGATGTTTGAATTACACAGACATGATGTAATCTATGTGGAGCAAGGGGAGATCAAGGAGACTGGAAGGTTGGCAGTTTGGTTTTTAGGAGAAAAAAATGGAAAGAGAACAACTTGTCTACATAGAAAACACCTGCTGAGGTGACCTTGTGCTTAATGTGTAACTGTGAGTATTTTTGTGAATGTTTAACTGAGCAGATTTTAAAAAGGAAAATGGTCCAAGGTGATTGAAATCTGAAAAAAAAGGAAAGTACTGATAGCCTAACAGGAGGACTCATAGAAGTCTCCCTTCTTTTTTATTTCAACAAAAAAAAGATGATGAGTCAGCTGTATGCCAACAGTATCACAATGCCAAACATCCTGACACATCAATGGCCTTTTGTTTTCAATTTGATTTTATAAGAACAGCAATCCCTTTCTGTCCAGTTTCAAACAAAGCACTTGAATTCACGACCAGGGTTTTGTCCTGAGGGGCCGCGTTGATTTAAACACCTCTGGAGGACTTTTTCCGGAGCCACAGAGGACAAAAGCCAGAGCCAGAGTAGATGGGAGACAGGACCCTTCTGCTTTCTTTCTTCTTGCACTGAGCTGCATCCGGAGAACAGGCGGCGGCTGGAAATAGCCCAGACATACAGGCCAAGTAGGAGCAGAGCGCTGTTGGTGTTGTCTCCTGTTCTACTTCCTTGGTTGGCAGCTAATCAGCAGAGACAGAGGACGATGCAGCACAGGAGCTAGACACACTGGGTAAGGCATGTGACACAGGTGAGTGTGCATGTGTGAAAGTATGTATTTCTGGGTGTGAGTGCAAGATTAACTATATGCAAATGTGAGGGAGTAATTTTGAACATGCAAGAACATTTAGACAGGTGACAGGTAAATTGGTCAATCACGTCAGTCACACACCTTAATCCAGTGTCGGAATGTAACAACATACATGTTCAGAAACGCTGAAGTTAAAGTATTGGATTAAATAACAAGTTTGTAGATGTTTTATTTAACCTTCGTTAGCCTTTCAAGCTCCTGTGAGGAACATGTTTGTGTAGCCCACATGGACAAAGATGTATTCTCTCTTTTCTGAGTTGGTCCTGTACATGTGTATCTTTTCCTGCTTTCTTTTAACAGTCAAATCACTCATCAAGGCTATGTCGGCAGCTTAAAGGGATACTTCACCCGTTGAAACATGAATCTGTATTGACATTGGGTCATATATGTAGGAGAAATGTGAAATAAATTTTGAAGTTGGTGCCTTCTTGGCCAAGAAAAGGCAGAAAGTGTCTTTTTGGCTCATGTGGATGAAAGACACCAAGTCCCAGAATGCACAGCACCGCAGGCCACTCCAACAGAATCAGAAATACTTTATTAATCCCATAGGGAAATTCGATTGTTACAGTTTCTCCAAAATATACAATATAGCAGTAGAAATATAGTAATAAAAACATTTACAGACATATTTACTTCAACACATACGACAATTTCCTCAACTGATTCTGAGATTTCTTCCAGAATTGATCTTGGAAATTCCTGGCAGAAAACAGACTCTATGTCTGTGTCCAGAGGCAAACAGTGAGAGCACCGACACTACCAGCCCGCCCCAGCTCAAGCCGGCCCCGGCTCCTCGTCCTCACCGCCGCTAACAGGCAGGCCTTATGTCTCGGCTGCTGAGCTGGCAGCAGCCGGCAGCGGCCAGCAATATAGCAATATAGCGGCGAGATGGCTGCTGCCGACAGGCCGCTCTTGTGTCGCGGCGGCCAGCAGCCACAGCAGCCAAAACACAAGACCGGCCTGTTGGCAGCAGTCATCTCGCCGCTATATTTAGATTTTTTCGCCATTATCAGCTTTCTCCATAGAGCCTGTTAGCATAGCTTCCAAGCAATATGGCGGATGTCAAGTTTTGATTCTGGGAGTGAGTTCCCACCCACTGATCTGTGATTGGTCTGTAGCTTCAGTGGTCGAAAATATGAGGAGCTAGCGTTGTAGTTTCACACCGCTAACCGCAACAGCTTCCAGTGACGCAAAAATTGTAATTTTGCGTCACTGGAAGCTCCTCTTCAGACTCAGAAATACAAAGATTTCCCATCTCAGGGGAAAATGAGGGCAGGATGCACGACCATTCAAAAAAACTACCAGGTTTCTAATGATCCAAAGCTTAATGTAAATGGGTGAAGTATCCCTTTAACATCAGTGTTGTTGCTGACGATCTCTTTTGCTTTTGTAAGTCATGCCAAAGAGACATCGCTATTGAGTTCAGTCTGTTTCATAATGAGGTTAAAGCTCCTCATAGTAGCTTCAACTTGGAATTTATTTCAGTTGTAGGATTTTACTGCCCATTACATTTATTACACAGCAATAGCTTTCACTGTGGCAATTAAATTAAAGCGAGTCCGAACCTAGTTTAAGGATCTCTGCAGTAAAGAATAAATGAAGTGAAATAAGCTCCACGTCAACCAGCTATAACTCAAATGATGCTAACATTACAGCATTGAATAGTATTTATATTATTATTGAATGAGTAAATATTAATACGTTATATACTGTTCATCAGTAGAGGCCAATTTTTATCCACAAGTATTTATTTTACAGTTGACAGATAACATCCGGTTTCCTCCAGCTTCAAATCAAAAGAACAAGTAATATCATCCCAGCTGGAGAGAACTGACTGTCGTAAGTATTAAACCAGTATCATAGCAACCAATGTTGGAGTACATCACTGACTCCAACATTGTTTGTTTTTTGTCATTAAATGCTGATTTGTTTGCGTTACGTCTTCAAATTAGACTTGACGCACATTTCTCACCTCTATGTACACACACTGCAATTATCAGAGCACTCAAACTCATTAGTAACAGAATACAGCTCAGGGAGTGAGACATAGTTCACTTTTGTTTCACGTCACCATTTAACACCTGCATAAACTTGTTGAATTAACTGACATTTTTTTCACAGCCAATCAGAGTGCAGAGCTTTGACAGCCAAACCTTGAAGAGTGAGTTTATTCTCTGTTCTTTTTGTTCCTCTTTAGTTACTGCATGTGTACTCCTAAGCTTTAAAATGAAAACTATTTATAGGCCTTCCCTTTTAGCCGATGACTGTACTGTGTAATCTGTTTTTTTACTTGTAGCAAAATTCTTCCAGGGTTATCAAGTTCTCTTTCTCAGACATTTCCTGAGGACGTCATACATTATTTGAGATTTCAGGAGAGATTTGATTCTTGTAAGTGAATTTCTATCATGTTCTAAAAATGTGAAAAGTTTGACTCTTTTAAATGGTTTGCACTTTTAAACATGTCAACCTTTGAAGCCTTGTTATAAATTTGATGATTTAACTTTTCACTTCAGACTACACCATTACACTTGATCAGTTCATAATTAGATACTTAGTTAAATTAACTAAGTTAAATTTTATCAGTTTGCAAAAGATTCCTCCAGGGGGGAAAAAAAGTGTTTCCTGTATAGATTTAAATGGGACAAGAAGTTGTGTTAACTATTATCTTTTTTTTAATGACTTCAAATGCTCTATGTTGACCTTTTGACCCCTATAGTGTTGCTATTGAGCAGTTTTCTTATGTGTGTGTCAAAATGTGTTTATCGCTCTTGTTTTCATACAGTGCCATGCTTCACAGATACGACAGTGGTATCAATCATTTGTATCTAACTCAGACAAGAAAGTCAAGTTAAGTCAGTTTATTTATAGAGCACATTTTAGAACAACAAACACTGACCAAAGTTTCAACTTTTGACCAACTTTCCAGAAAAAAATATAAACAATGAACACTCAAATAATTGTTTGTTACTCATAAAACCCAATATACACAGCCTAGTAAAAAAAACAAAACATATAATATAAGAAGTGAACATGTCCTCAAATGTTGCTTTAACTTGAACGCCGTCAGTTTTTAGTGATAACAGTAATGCTGTCAGTGTAAACACTTTTTATTTGCTTACAAGAAAGCTCTACTGGTTTCTTTTATTATCAACTTCTGAGAAATCTGATCAGGATCTTTCTACTTACCTTCTACTTTTCTTAATGAAAATAATGTTTCGTCCATCCTTCATGTTTGATAGCAGGACTGTGAATGAGTCACCTTGTTTGTTTTTTGTTTGCGTCATGTCTCAGACACACTTCGATTTGGGCTAAAAGTGATTGATTGTGGCATTTAAGAGTTGTTGCACTTATTCTATTTGTGTATTAAGGATTAGCTGCAGCTTTTTGAGGGAGGGCACTCTGTTTATTTGTTTCTCTGCATGTCAGATATGATTACAGAGCTGCAGTATATTCCACAGCAGCACTGAGACTGTGAGCTGAGTGGTTTAAAAAGGAAACAGGGGAGGACAGTGTTTTCCTTCTGGCTGCTCTCTGGGATTCACAGTTTAATTTTTGCATTCAAGGTAATTTTTTCAGATTTGTTCTTTTGTAATAATCCTGAAAAGAAAAAGTGAACTTGTTGAATTTTCTCCAGCACCGCCCCCAGCACACTCTACAGCCGACTGTAGAGTGTGTGTGAGGTCAGACGATCCTGTGGGACAGAGGGAGGTTAAGACACACACACACACACACACACACACACACACACACATTATTTGATACCGACACACAATCCAGTGGGGTTTCTTTATGTGCGCTGAGTGAGTGCAGTGAATGTGTGTGTGAGATGATGAATGCGGGGAGACAAAGAGAGACGAAGCAGATGACAGCGTAGAGGGAGTAAGAAAACACACACACACACACTCACTCAAAAACACACACAGTCAAAACCCCGTCTCGCTTCCTGTTTACAGCACTGTGATGGCTATTTTTGTCCACTGGTTGTTTGAGACAAGGTCTCCAACTTAACAATAGAAGTCAATGTTAGGGGTGAGAGAGTTAAACTCTTAATAGCCAGAGCCAAACACAACAGTCGCTTTTTAAACTTTTTTTTTTGTTTTTTATCAAGAGTGAATCCAACTTCAGATTTATCATCAAAATCTCAAGCACTGTTTGAATTTTTAAAGGAATTAAAAACTGAAATAAATGCGCTTGAAACAACAAAATGAGAACTTTATTTTTCAGAATAAAAAAGCCCCTGAGTCTTTGTATGTGGTCTAGCTGGGTTTAATTGTTCTTTCTTTTTTTGCGTCAAACATTCAAAACAGAAGAGAAGGAAACTTCCTCCCTCCATACATGGATCAGGGTCAAAGGGGAGTAGGGAGTTTGAATAGTGAAGCTCAGTCAATCAAGGAAAACACTGCAGTGCAGCGGTCTGCTCCGGCCCCACTGCCTTCCGCCAAGACGCCTGTTCATCTATCACACTTCCTGTGTGTGAATGCTGATCAGAATGTGTGTATGTGTGTGCGTGTGTGTGTGTGTGTGTGTGTGTGTGTGTGTGTGTGTGAGTGTGTGTGAGTGTGTGTTTTGCCATTTTAATATTAATATTGATGTCTTTGCAAACACATTGCTCTGTCTGTGCCCCCTTCTGTTTTTTTCACACACACACACACACACACACACACACACACACACACACACACACACACACACACACACACACACACAACACACACACACACACACACACACACACACACGCACTCACTTTTACACAGGCACACACACCCACCCACACCCACACACACACACACACACACACACACACACACACACACATACACACACACATACACACACACACACACACACACACACACACACACACACACACACACAGCGCACAAGCTAACATGTTTTGCACCCAGGTGCTTCAGAAGTTTTTCATCCACTCTTTCTTGTATGAGTTATTTTCATGAATAAACTGTCAGAGTTATATTTATAAACTCTTGGATTAAATGATTGTACTCCACTTTCACCAGGCGACAGTAGAACATTATGATTTGTAAGCAGTGCAGCACACTGAAAGAGATCATTTTCATAGAGTTAACAGGGTTATGGGGTAACTTAAACCTTACACTGTTGCAGCTTTCTCAATCCTAAGTGATAAATCCTAACCTTTTTATTCAGAGAAAAGTATGCAGTTTTGTTATTTTTACTTAATTATAATGTTTTAGTATCTATGTTAAATATTCAGTAAATAGATTTGAATTATATTTAAATGATTACTTACCTATGTCACATGCATAACATCATTTCCTCAGACATCGATTAACTGACGTGACGTTCACTCTCATTTTGATGACTGTGATCTTCCTGAAGACTTTCCAAGTGCATTTTGTATGTAAAGCAAATTCTGATAATTTCACAGCATATATCGCCTATTTATTATTGGGATGAAAGGCACCTGACTACCACCACATTGCAGGAGAAATAAGATTTCAATGTGTAATTTTATACATTAATTTACATCATCTACAAACTTCCACTTCATGCTTCCTTTCTGCCCTTTGAAACTCCTTTGGTTTCTATGTATTGCAGACCCAGTGATCAAACCTTGGCTTGTCCAGATCACATGTACTGTTCTTGATCAGACACTGAATCCTGTTGAATTTAACTTTTGGAGGTATTTACAGTAAAATGTGCCCAATGTTTTGATATTTGTCTTTGGTGTCTGAGTCAATGGTTGTTTGTTACCCTGTGTCAAACACTGGGTGAAAGTGAAAAGAGAGACACAGACAAAGAAAAACAACAAGGGGATTACCCTCACACCTACACAATCCTTTTTAAGCAACTCAAACCACAACCGCCACCCCCTCTTTCTATTCCCACACAGCAGCCAAAGAGGCAGAAGCTCAGATACCCTGAGCTGGGAGTCTATTTTTAAACACACACGCTTGTGTGTATGGGCAGGGTGAACTTTGTGTGTTTCTTACTGCTGAGCTCTGGCTTTTGAAACACAAATGCTGTAAACCCATGTTTCCTATCCAAGCGCAGAGATAAGAGGGCCTCTGTTATTCAGGCTGAGAGGCAGCCTCTGCACAACAACAATGAGCCCTGCTGAAGACACACAGCCTAGATACATGCAAAACAAACACATGCACATTCTCACACACATTCTTTCTCTCTTTGTGTTAACATGTATGTGTTCAGGTCGACATATTTTTTTCTCTCCCACACAGGCACACAAACATAAACAAAAGTAAATACAGATAGCACTGTGCACTAAAGACGTTGGCTGACATTTTTTTGCCAGAAGATATTTTAATTCAGTCATTCATAAAAATGAAATTGATTAAATATTTGACAACATTTTATTGTTTGATCGGTGTCGCAAATTATTCTCAAAGGATGAATGTGAGACTTTTTGATTTAGCAGATGTCACCCTTGAGCACCATCATGAAACCAAAACAAAATGCTGTTTAGCGACCCCTCCGGCACACTGAATCCTCAGCTCTCCTCCAGTGACACACCTCCAACCCCTCTCCCCTCGCGATTGCACAAAGGAGTTATCAAATTGGAACGGACACAATTGTCCTTGTCTTTTTTTGTGACATTCAAATAAGACATTCAAATAAGCAGTGAGTACAGTATGTTATTCTGCTTTTCTATAGTCCCTCACTCAAACGACTTTTATACTCAAGGTGACGAGCTGGCTGGCCGTCCCGTCCATGTAAACATGATGTAAATACGGCTGAAACGTCACTGACAGCGCAACTTGCGCGTCACACTGATTGTGGACAGTCATTACTCAAAGAGGATATACTAGATTTCTGCTATGTTTCCATTCTTCCTTTAATGTAACCCACTTAGTCTTTGATAATGATAAAAATTGTCTTGTCAAACACTACCAGTAAGCAGTAAAGAAATGCATTATATGAGTAGAAACCATTGAAGTGCAGATTGGCTGTTAGACCTTGAATAAAGCATGCACACCCAGACGCACACACAAAGCACACTCACACATTTTCTCTTACACTCCATCTCAAACCTCAGTCTTCAGACCCACAGGTATTTATTAAAGCTGACATAAGTGACATCTTACCGGCGACAGCAGAGAGAACCATCACTCTCAGGGGAGGAAACCCTCTTAGCTAAGCTGATTCTGTCACACCTGCTCGTTCTTGTTTTTGCTGCTACAGCTGTTTTTAATTGTTTTAATGCATATTCAACACTTACACTTTTCTGACCTACTTTCCCCTCCAGTTTCATTCATCTCTGACTCTCATTCCTCTGCCTCTCCACATTTAGGTTAGATTGAGGGAGATGGCGGAGACAGCAGAATGTGAGGAATTTAGCAAGTGAGTAAACGTGTGAAAAATGTATAAGGACATTCAATGAAGACCTAATAAAAGACATGCTGCATGTTACTGGGTTGCATTTCTCAGCAAATTGCATCTCAAGGGTGTTGACCCGATAGCTTGTGACTCCAATGTGCCTAACTGCTACAGATGTTCTCATGTGAAAAAATATTTACAGCATACCACCACTGTGATGTTGTCTGCATGGGTAATATCTGAAATGCAATCTGTTCCTCTTGTTTTATGCACCGCAGACCTTTTCAGCACAATAACAGTGTTGCTGATGCATTTTTGCTTAATCTATTTATTTGTATCAACTTTGAACCAATCTAGGTCGGAAAATCAGTTCCTCCATACACAAATGTGTTCTGCCACTCATTTTCCTTAGGACATTCCTCTCCATAAAATCACTGCACCAACTGTTACCAAGGCCATGCTAACGTTTTGGCCTTCCAAAAGTAGTACAAACTGACTGAGGCGCCAACTTTCAGTCCAAAGTGTTAAAACAAACCTTGCAATCCCTGGGTATTCAGGACCTTGTGTCTAGTCCTTACCATCCGCAGTCACATTGAGCACTAGAACGCTGGCATCAGACCCTTAAAGCCATGATGAAAAAGTATCGTCTTAAATTGGCTGAAGTTGGGTCAAAGGTCAACTTTAAGCTTTTCCTCATGCATGTGTTTCAGTACTATAAAATGTAAATACAATTGTTCCAAGAATAGAGCCTTGGGGGACCACTATGATTTTACCCAAACATATTGCCTTTGTTATTGATAGGATTTTTGCAGTCGAGGTTTTTTTTTTTCAAGAATTTAAATGCCTCAATCTAGATCAAAGACCATGTTGCTCAACAATTTTAAATGCCTTCTTTAGTTCTTACAGCACCAACACAGAAAGTCGTTTCAAAATCGCAATTGACTTTTTCTTAATTTGGCAAATTTGGGAATGGTGATGGGAATGTTGTAGCCTCTTTTTAAAAGCCTAAGCTATAACAAGGAGGACACTAGCTGGCTTATAGCTTTATCTGCTTTTATCAAAGATTTGAAAATATGGATAACTGTCCAACTTTCCAAACTGATTGAAAACATTTAGCCTAACTTATAGATATTGTGTAATGTGTGTATCAGAGTCTATGTAGTTTAAGAAAGTGATTATGAAACTTGTACAGATCCTTGGCCTAATATGTTTTTAGTGGTTTTTAAAAGGTGGTCTATAAATAGGCTTGCTTTGGCCTTTTATACACACTCTTATAATTTGTTTCTAATTAGGATAAATATTTGTTGGCCAGTAAGACCAGACTTTTATTTAATTATTCGTATTACATTTGGTCTCTATCTTTCATCATACATCCAAAGTAGTTTTTGTCATGCACAATGTTTATTTTCTGTGTACAGCAGCTGCATTTATACCCAAATGCAAGTGCATTTCCCCCCTTATTTTCTCGCTAATTATAATGATCAGAAACATCACTGGCTTGAGAAGCAACTTGAGACGAGGGAAAATAATGATTTCTGATGGAATCCTCTTAGCTCTGCCATGTACAGATTATATGGGCAGAGGATTAATCAAATCCATTTCATTCATTGGTTTGATTTAAAGCCTTTTGTCCACCATTCATCCGATATGTCCGTAACAAAGACAATGGCTGTCTAAGCACAGAACGTTATACAGACTCACGTGTTCCATGCTCGGGGAAGCTCACTTTAATTAATGGGACATTGTAGTGTTCTCCTGTTCTGCTCCGTATAGAGATGAGTGGTCATATCACAGGCACAGAACAGCAGCTTCAGTGCCTGTGGGGAAACATCTAACAGGGATTTGTTTAAAAAACAGGTCTCTGGCCAAGAACAGAGATTACTTCAAACTACCAGAAATACAATTTGGCATGCTCCTGGACAGCAGAAAAAAAGGTGATATACAGTAAACACAAGTTCCTGTTCAACTTTAATGAGGATAACTATGAAGATGTATGCTTAAACTGGACCACAACATATTTCATCCGTGACTTTTCCAGTCAATAGCGTGTATGTGAAAGGAGCATGTAAACGATGCAGTAGAGCCATTTGAAATAATTGAACTATGGCAAATATTTTCTGACTTATCCCATGTTTTGTGTTGCCATGCAGATGTTAAACCTTAAGATGAATAATGTGATTACAGTTATGTTCCGGGATTAACTCTAGTAACCAGAATTTTTTTTCTGAGAAATAAAAAAAGCCACATTGATGTGTTTCAGAGATCAATCTTGCAATGTCTCTAAAACAACACCGCAGCAGCTCAGCCAAAGACGACAAGTGGCCTGTGGCCCAAGCAGCTATAACCAGGCCTTATGCAAGCCCGTCACAGAGAAAGTGACACATTTCACAACACGTTTATTATTGTCATCATATTTAAATTAAGCACAATTTATGAGCTGCTTCACAGACTACTACATAACCCTGATTGTGATGTTCTTTCTGTTTTCTGTAGTTTTACCTTTATTGTTGTTATCTTTATGATTTATGTGTAATGTTGCAATGTCTGTTAGTCTGTCCTCTGTCCATTGTACAGTGTCTTTGAGTTTTTGAAAAGCGCTTATAAATAAAATGTATTATTATTATTATTATTATTATTATAACCTTTCTATAACTAGTCTGCAATCTTTTCTGTCAAACACTCACCACTTCAGATAGTGGCAACATGCAGAAAGTTGCAGCTTTACTCATTTATGAGTTAAACTGTAAGATAATACAAGAGTCTTTCAGTTCTGTCTGAGCAACACAAGGCCAATTGGTTGATCGGAGAATATATAGGAATTGCTTCACCTCTCTTTTACAGTACCTTATAAAGGGACTTCATATCCATATTGATTCGTATCATACATACTAATGATTGTAGTTGTACTGAATAACTTGTAGAGAAATTATAACTAACAGGAGTTACAGAGGAAGAAGACATTTCCAAATTTGTCTCTCGGTATCTAAAAGTCTTTTGCTCCTCAGCTCCTCTGGTCTCCACCTTGTTCTCTCTCCTCTGTATCTTTGAACTCCTTTCTCGTGTGTTTTTTTTAATTATTATTCTTTCATCTCCCTTTCTCTTAAGCTATTGGCCGAATGCCAACATCTTCAGAGAGAGAGGCCAAGATATGAGCAGCGCTGCATTCCAGCCTGCTCTGCTGTGTCGAGGCGGACAGGTTAGAAAGGCCGGTGAAGGCACGTGACTCTTCTGGTGACAGATGGGAACAAGACCCGGTGGAATCCACCTCTGCCCCTCCCTTACCCCAAACCCTAAACTCACCTCGTCTCGCTGGAGGATTTCAGTTTCTCATGCTTTCAGTTTCTTATGTTGCACACATGATCAAAGCACAGTTCAGCCATCTTGAAGATTTCTATGACACGACATTTTTAAGCCTTTATAATTTGCTATAGAAACAATCTACAGTCGTTCTCTAATTAAACCAACCTTTGAAAATCCTTAATATCAACAGAAAGAATTAATTATTATTTTGTTTACCATAATACTAAACGATCATGTGTGACCATTTTTGTTCTGGCAGGGAACACTTTGCACTTACGTTCAATATAAGCTCTTCCTCATTGGTGCGTTGTTTCCATAATAACTCAGTTTTTACTTCAAAATAGTTGCATATGAAGACGATTTCCGTTGTTCCCCATTGAAGCATAAAAATGTAGTTCTTTGTTTTCGTGTGTTTGACTTTGTTAATGCAGGTTGTTTTGGTTTGTGCTATAGATTTTCTTTGACAAAGCAAAATCATGAACACACTGACTCACAGTCACACACAAAGTCTTGTATGTCCCTTTCACCATTGGGTTAAGTATGCTCACACACACACACCCGCACACTCAGTGTAAAATCCCATTTAATCACAAGAATCCTGACTGGGAGCATTCCTGTCGCACTGAGTTAGTACAATTTGCTTATTAGAGCAAACAATGGTATCTGTCAATTTCATTATCATAAGCTGAGAGATTATAGAGCGATGTGCTGATCCTCTCCTGCACACTGTGGTTCCCCTGCTTTCCCACGTCTGAACTTCATGTGATTATGAAAACCTGATTGTCACATGCAATCAAATCCTGCTGATCTATGGCAACAAGGGGAGTCAGACATGTACAGAAGTCTCCACCACTGCATATGCAATGGAATTTGTTGCATGCATACGTATGCATACGTATTATGAAGCATATAATGTTTGTTCTTGTTTTTGTTCAAAAGTATTTTTCTGATGCTGATTCCATCTATTTGCTGGCTTCATGTCACTTTATTGAGCAACCTCTCAGAGATAATTGTTATAGTATTACAAAGAAGTTCTCTGTTCAAACCGGCTGGCTCCTGCTTTAATAACCTGCTGCACCTGAAAGTCTTCATTGCTTTGCCCTTCACTGAGATATGCTGATTCAGTGAGGTGAACCCAAAGACTGCAACTATGATATCATTAGAGGAACATAAATCAACTCTAATATGCACAAAGTGGGATAATATTGTACATAATGCAGAATACATTACCGTTCTTTACAAAAACATGGTCATGAAAGTACACACAAAGTCAACACATATTCTAACAGTGTCACCACAAGCGTTTTAGAAATATTACACATCATGTGACTTATTTGCATGTAGAAGTATGAACATGAATACGATTGAACGTGAGCTATGTTCCTGAGCAGACGCTTGCTTCAGGGTAAGATTACTTGGTGTCTTTGTTTTTATGAAAATCCTGTTGATGCACCTGCATTGTGTTTGCTTGCTTTTGTGTCGGTTCTAAAAGTATGTGAATCTGTTTGGAAAGGAATTTGTGAGCCTGTTTGTACGGCTTTTTCAGATTTTTTTTGTGTGTCTGTGTGTGTGTGTGTTTCCGTGTTTCCAGGTGGAGGAAAGAGGGGGCAGTTGCAGCAGGGGACCAGAGAATGAAGTGAGGGAAACGGGAAGGAAATGACGAAGACTTGTTGACTTATTCTCTGGACATGCAAAACTGCCACTCGCCTCTCGCCACTAAAAAAACGTGACTGGTTGTTTATGTGACTTTAAAGAAAATGGTGACACACAGACACAGGATGGAAAACACTGAGACAAACAAGGAAGAAAATGTTAGAGGGAAATAAAAATAAGGAAAATGTCGATAAAGATCTGAAATGTATAAAAGTTTATATGGCAACTGACCAACACTTAAAAGCTCAATTAGATTTTGCATTAAAAATAGTTATACTCATTTCAAAACAGAAATGTCCTAACAGCTTACATCATTCAGCACTCATATTCAAATGTTTTCTCTTTATAAAATTGACATTTTTGAGTGAGAGGGAGAGGTTATGCCCTAAAATGAAAGGATTTTTTGCACATTTGTCAGCTGACCAGCAGCCAAATAAAGCATTTGTGCACACGTCAACTTGAGAGCAATGCAGCATAGGAAGCCAGTTCTTCCAAACTGATAACCCAGAGGGCAGCAGGCTGCAGTAGCAACACAAACATCACTGCCGCCGCCACAAATCAACAGGCCTTATTCAAACTAGACCAAAATGTTTAAAACATCCTCTGGAATGCCAAACAGCAGCATAACCAACTATAATGTAAATCTAAGATATATATGGAATACATTTTTTTCTCTTTCAACTTAGCATTCAAGTGCATCACACTAATATTATTCATCTCCAGACACCGACACAAAAACAACAAGGGAAGGTCAAAGGAAGGGCAAAGGTCATGGCAGGAATGTCATTGGAATGTTTGTTATCACATATTTTTTCAAGATGTTCATAACTCAGTGTATGTGTGAGCACACACACACACACACACACACACACACACACACACACACACACACACACACACAATGTTCTATGGAACAATCTCCTCTTGCTGCGAAACAGTTTATTATTATTTTTTTGTTTTTTGTTTCATCTTGTCAAAATGCCTACAAAATGAGTTTTCTCCAGTCCTTTAACAGAAAAACGAAGTTCTCGTACAAGTATTTTGTATTTGACAGAGTGGCTCATTTCAAACTTTACTTGGAAATTGAATTATTTTTTTATTTTTTTACTTTTACTTTATACTGTATGTGTGTGCTTGTTCTGTATGTGACGGCTGTGGCTTAGAGGTAAAGACGGTTGTCTTTCAATCTGAAGGTTGCCGGTTCGATCGATTGCGCCTGATGGCATAGCCAGAGGTGAGTGAATGCCTTGAATGCGATGAGTTTATACTAATGGGTATTCTATATTGCACCCTCAGCAATCAATGTATGAATGTGAGTGGATGGGTGAATGTGACATGTAGCGTGAAAAAGGCCTTATCACAAGACTACAAAGCACAATGGGTTCAGTCAATTTAATAATTCTTGTACGTGTGGGGGTGTGTGTATTGTGTGTGGGTTACAATTCAATTCACTTAGCAGACGCTTTTATTCAAAGCGACGTACATCAGAGAGTAAGGCGGGTATGACTGTTCAATAGTGTTATTAATTATGTAGGTGTGGCACAAATCAGTTACAGTACAATACGTGCTGTGACAATAATAGCAGTATGTTTAGTCACATGTGGATATTTGGAACCAAATGAAATCCAGAGATGAATAAACTAACAAAAGACCTTTTGACTGAGCCTACAGCTCACTATTAAAGAGATTGTTAGTGCTCTAATTAGCTTGATGATGCAGTTTCATAGAACTCTTAATCAGTGTTGCTTTAACACATAGCTATCTCATCTCTTCTACTAGTTCAGTGGTTCTCAACTTGTCTAGCCTCAGGATCCACCACTAACTCCTTAATGACAAGCCAGGATCCACTTTTAGGACATTTTTCAACTGATGAGATTTGATTAATAAAAAAAAAATGTAGTTTGGACCTCAGACAGTCCAGAACATATGAAAGAACAAAGAGATGGAACAAAACAAACATGTTTTATAGGTGCTTAAAAGACTCTTTGACACTTTTATTTTCTCCATGCACACTTATGTGACCCAATGAAATCAGCTCCACGTCCCACTTTTGGGTACCGACCCACCACTTGAGATCCACTGTACTACTTAAGACACAATTTCTTTGAACCATTTCATGAAAACCTGCTAATCCAAGCAAATAGTGTAAGATATAGCTCTGTCAAGGGAAAACTCCCCTGGTGAACAGGAAGTGATCTGTTAAAAATATTCTCCGCAGCACTAAGGGGGAATAAAACTATTTTTAAAAACTCTGTAGAATACATGACAGTGGAAGAGGAAAGAAGTATACTGCAGCAAAGAGAAAAACGTTAAATTCAAATTAACAAAATGTACACTCATTTACTGTCGCTTTAACGTAAGCCATGTGACATAGTGGTCATAGCAACAGCCAAGGACACAATGCATTTCCTAGACGGTGAATGTGTGTGTGTGTGTATGTGTGTGTAGAGCTGATGACATGCTAATTCCAGGGAGACAGCGTTGTAGGGGGGATGAGATTACAGTCTGGCAGTGGATGCCCAGCAAGGTTGCTGTTGTTTTCTGGAGCTCATGGCCTGTGTCTTAAGAGGCTCTAAGAGGCTTGGAGAAGATGAGCTACCATCTGGCTAAATCCTGAGGAGGCTAGAATACAGGGTCGGGGAAATGTTGACACCACTGATGTGATGCAGCACAGGTGCAAGATCCTGGTGATGCAAGAGGATTTGAATAGTATGAAACATCTAAAATGTGTTTTCATTCAAAACATGGGTCAAATGATGTAGTGCTGCCCCACAAAGGACTGCATTTCACCCTGTGACTCACAATGTAAGTTTCTGCTACAGTATGTTTATTGTAATTCCCTTATGTAAATCAAAACTAATAAAGTACTTGATATCATTCTGGTATTTAAATTTAACAAAAGCAGAAGAGAACATGACTCTGACTCTATTAACATTTTTATGGAGACTTTGTAGCGTGGTGACTAGGTCTAGCTTGCCTTCCAAAGGCACATAAAATGCTGTCAAGAATGCCATGCGAAAGGCATTTTATACATTAGTATTCTATGTTTTGATATTTAATCACAATTGAGTAAACTGACAGAGACTTGTGCTTGGACTGAAGAGTTGACAGCATTCTGATTCGGAGGATGTAGCAGAGGGCTCAGGCTTATTTAATTGTTTTTTTATGTTATGTTTTTTTTTTATGTATAAGGTCCTTATAAATTATCCAGTCTCAAGTAAAAGCTGGCATGTTGGTTAACCTACATGCTCATGCA